AAACAACAAACACATACAGACGTATCTCTTTTCTATCCTTTATTCTGAATTTTTCTTTATAAATGGCTCTATCCAACATGGACCCATGCATTTTGCAGTATAAGTGATTAATATACGAACGGTTAATATAGACAGAGACCCTATAGAAATTTCACCCGGGACACCATGTGTCCTAAGAGCAGCGCTGGCATCTTCTCCTACCTAATTCCCTTGGATCCAGAAAAAGCTGCCCACAGTCTAGTCCCCAAGTCTCTCATAAACCGTTTCTATCAACCCTACAAGTACTTTTTAGCACAAAAGCCCATTCTAGCAGCCAAGTTCCCCAAACAGAGAAGTATTCTTTCTCAAGGTGAATGGAAATGCCCATCTCCAGCAGCTAAAGAACTCCTGGCATCTTTAAATAATGATCATTTTCCAGACTCAGCTTCGCCACATGTCCATCCTGCCTCCTTTCCTATCATTCTAATTCTAAACCTGTCAAGATCCAGCCCGAGCCTAGCCATCCTGTGTGTGACGTTTATCTATTGACAGGCTGTGAGGTCAGAAACTCTTGTTTCAAAAACTGAAAACAATCTTGTAAAGTACGCAACCTCAGACAAGCTACTTAACTGAAGCTTCCATTTCCTTTTATGTGCTATAAGGCCAATTCTTTTTATTTTGTACAAATTGTTTTGAGAATTAAACATGTTAACATGTAAGCCCAAAGCACAGGGCCTGGCAGAGAATGTTCAATGAGCGATTAACACCGGTTCCCTATCTTTCTTCTCTTCAGCAACAGCAGTTTAAATTGCTCCTCTGCAGGTGATGTTTGCCTATTTGGATCATGAAAAACACGTTCTTCCCAAAGGTGGTTTACATTTCCTGGGCCCCTCTGGGTCAGATTCTGGGCCAAGGGCTAGGCTGCAGGAGCAGAGATGCAGCTGCAAGGGCTGGGGAAGAACCAACTACAGACTGATCTTTTTGGAGCAAGCCTCTGGAGACAAAAGCTGAAAAATCACTGCCAATTTAGAAGGCCCAAAGCAAAACTCATGAAACATTCAAACAACTGCTAGTGGAGGCCCAATGAAGAGCAAACACTTGTTGTGTAGAGATAGACTTTTTCACCAATTTAAAGGTTCTCCAGTTGGGAATCCAGGTATATGATACTTTCTCTGTGACAGGACGGAAAACAGAATAACCATATCTATTTAATAGCTGTCATTAGTTCTGCACGTGAAGACTTTCAAAGCACTCAACGACACTTGGTCCTACAACTGCTCGAGTCAGGCAGATAGTGCATTACCTTCCTCTCTAAGGACAACTCAAGCCCAGGGTCAAAATGCCACTCTTTCTGCTCTAACCCTCTGCCCAGCATAAAGTGTCTGTTGCATTCATCAGTTAGGAGGTACCGCTCTGTCTTCAGTTATGCACAAGTTCAAGTGAAAGAGCAGATAAAACACCCCTGAAGCTATGTGCAGGAAGGAAGAATCCCAGTAGGATGTGACTAAAGAAATAAATGAGTGCTTTGACTTCAGAAGAAAGATGCCCTCTTTTACCAAGAAGCTGTTGAAAACAAAGCACAGTGAGAACCCAACCCACTTTTCCATGGGCCTGGCTTCTGACTGGGTCACCGAAAAGTCTGTGAATCTGGGCTTTGGAAGGCATCCTAGAGCTTCTTCACACTAGTCCCCCATGCCATGGAGGATGTCCAACCACTGCCGGCCACTCCCAGACAAGGGTCTCTCAGTCCCTCACAAAGCAGCCATGTGAAGGAGGGCCAGCTGACGACCAGGGGCCCCTTCTATACCTCCCACCTGTTGTCTTACTTTCGTCTTCTTTATCAGTGCAGAGAAAGCAAATTCCTTTTCCGTGTGACAGGTCTATAAGGTGACTGCTACATCCTCCTCATTTGTTTTTGTTTCAGTTCAAGCATCTTCAGCTCCTTCCACCAACCCGACCTCTACACCCCTCAGCATCCCAATTGTGTTTCTCGGGACATGTTTTGTTTGGTGTCCACCTATGGCAGATACTGTTCATCAGCCAGTTCAACAAATGTCTGCAATTCTTTTGCTTTGGCTACTCCCAATGTAAAGAATGAAAAACAAAACATTGCCTTTCCCAATCTTCCCTGTAACTAGGGGTGGCCATGTGACCCAGTTCTAGCCATTCACACATAAGCAGAGACCTAGTGAGGGGCATATGAGGAAGTTTTTGCCTTTTTAATTGTAGTGAATTGTAGTGATAGATGCTACTAGCACAGTCTCTTCACCTTTTCTTGCCCCCTTGAAAGCGGATCAGATGCCTGGAGCTTAGGTAGCCATCTTATCACCATGAGGGAGGGGCAAAAGATATCTCAGAGACTCAGGCGATGACGTTATTGAAGTGATAATTGCCACCACCAGCTTCCTTCTTCCAGACTTTTGGTGTAATGAGAAGATGAAACCTGCACTTAAGACATTGTAAATCAAGTATCCTGTTATTTGCAGTGAAGATCAATTAAATCTGATACACCTTAAAGTGTTGCACTTGGAACTGAGCACGATGGTCCAGATTAGGCAGGACGATTGCAGTATGTGTCTGAGCTACTGCCTACCTTGCACCACCCTAAGACCAACATTCTGGCAGCCTCACATGGTTGACTTGCATCCTTATAAGTAGCAACAACAGTTAAAATATTACCATATATTGGGGCTTATTATTTGCCACATATTATTCATTTATTTAACAAATATTTATTAATGCCAAACTCTCTGCTGAGAATGCAGTAACAGTAAATAAAAGACACGTTTCAGCCCTCACAATCTCATGACTATTTTTAATCTGAATAACACTTCAAGCTATCTAATATCATTGCTATTTTTATATTATTCGGATTTTGAGTTTGAATCCACATAAAGCTTCTAACTTCTTTACACTTAAGCTTCTGTGGAAATAGCTGTCTCAATTCTGAATTTAATTGTAGGTACAGGTTTCATTTCATTAATTAACAGATTTTAAAACTCTGTGAAACAATCTCAAATGCACAGAACGTTTGTTAAGAGCAGCACTGTTTTACCCTAAAACAACTGAGCACATTTGCCCCATAATGCCCATGACCTCCGAATACTTTATTGTGTTCCTACGAATAAGGATATTCTTTGACATAACCACAAACCACCATTGAAATCTATACATTAAGATTGATATATCGCTACTGATGTGGTTCGACTCTGTGTCTCCACCCAAACCTCATCTCGAATTGTAATCCCTACGTGTCAAGGGAGGGACCTGGAGGGAGGTGATTGGATTATGGGGGCAGTTTCCTGCATGCTGTTCTCGTGGTTGAGAGGTCGTTCTTATGAGAGCTGATGGTTTAAAAGTGTGGCACATCCCCCCACTCCCCCTGCTCCAGGGTCTGCCATTGCGAAGATGTGCTTTCTTCCCCTTTACCTTCCACCATGATTGTGAATCTCCTGAGGCCTCCCACCTGTGCTTCCCGTTAAGCCTGCAGAACTGTGAGTTAACAAAACCTCTCTTCTTCATAAAGAAGTATCAGGTAGTTCTTTATAGCAGTCTAAGAACAGACTAATATAACTATCCTTCTAATTCCTGGACAAATTCAAGTTGTGTAGCAGTCCCAAATATGTTGAAGTAAAAGGATTGAGGCCAGGATCACACACTGCACTTAACAGGCAAGTCTCCTTTGTCTTCTTCATTTGGTCTGAAACAGTTTTTCCAGCGTTTCCTTGATTTTCAGAACCTTGACAGTTTTGGCAATCGCAGGCCCCTCATTGTGTAGAATTTGTAGTCTCGTGTTTCCACACAAACAGTCACATTACAACAGTCCTCCTGTGCTCTTGACGCTGATTTTACCAAGTGGCACATGACTTCTATTTGTCCCATAACTGGTGAGGTTGACTTTGGTCACTTAATTAAGGTGGTATCTGCCAGTTTCTCCACTGTAAATTATTATTTTCCCTTTTGTAATTAAGTATTTTGCAGGGAAATACTTTGAGATTATGTAAATGTCCTGTTTTTCACTGAACATTCAATTTATTCATATTCATTTATTTTACCAGTATGGGCTGTGAGATTCCTGTCATAGTAAATGGACTAGAATCCATTATTATCATTATTTTGATGCTCGAATTGTCCCAGACACAGCCAGTGGGAACTCCCTAAAGCTGGCTGCTCTGTCCCTTTGACATGTTCCTGTCATGCTTTGAGTACTACCTGGCTCACTGCCAAGGTATTCCACGCTCATGTATCTCTGCTCCAGCCCTAGAATTGGCTATTTTTCCAGGGTCCCCTGATTCCTCTTAGTGGAGCATGATATTTACAAGCCATGGTCTGGGTCTATTTGAGCCCTGCCTCCCACCCTACTAGGCTGTGCTCACACCCCCAATATGACACTGGTACAAGCTGAGCCCTGGCTATGAGCTTGGCAGAGTCCCCAAATCAGGGCACACATGAAGATGAGCAGACCTGGCCCCTCCTGTGCTACAGGTGAAGCCTGGGATGTGAGATGGGCCCCACCTGGAGAACCAAACTGGCTCTACATTTTCTACCCAGCCCCCACCCCTCACAAGGACCCACAGGAGGTCTGCCCAGCCAAGGGCTTCAGAGTTAAGCTCGAGGACTTCCAACAACACAAGCCATACTCTTAATTGCTGCTTCCTGCAAACAGCTGAGGAGGGAAGTTGCAAAGGGGGGTAAAGGAGCATGGAGAATCTGTCTGGGATATGCAGTGACACCCTCCACCACATCAGAAGCCAGTGCAGGCCATTTGCCCCAGCAGCCACCTTCTGCAAACTTTGCTTCATCTCCTCTCTGTGCTGAGCAGTGCCCCCAGCTGGGATGCTTAGTTCCAGCTCACAGCCTGGCAGAAGATCCAATGCTACAAGTGAAGAGAAATCTTTCATAGAAGAGAGCAAGGGGGCACTGGAGCCATGCCTGGCAACCAGCTCCACCTGCCATTGCCTGAGGCTATAGCAGGAGCAGGACAGGGCTAGAGGGATCTTTTCAGGTTAGTCTTTGCTTACCTCCTGTGACTCTGTCATCTCAGGAGAAAGCTTCATGAGAGATGGTCTTGCTGGACACTATAGGAGGAAAAGAAGGAAGACAGGAAGATCAGGAAGGGACCAGCAAACCAGCCTTGACAGCTCTGCCCAGTATGACTGGGGTGGCTGTCCATCGAGGATAGGAACTCAAAAGGCACATGGGCGCTATTTCTCAATTGCAGTGACAGTCTGTGGGTCTCAGACTGTCCTCAGACAGAAGAGGAGGAGGTGAAAGGGGACACAAGTTGCCTTGTAAGAATGGGCAAAGACAGAAGGTGAGAGAAGCAAGGTTGGCAGGGAGAGGCTAGCCCATAGTGAGCTTCGCATGCCTTAGGAAAAGGTGCCCCTTCTGGGTACCTAGCCCAGTGAACAAGGAGTGCTTCTGTACAAACTTTAAATGGATGCAGTCCCATACCAGAGTGCACAGTGTGGCACGTGAGCTCTAGCTGAGTTTCAGCCTCCACTCATCCCCTCAGTGGGGCATGTTTGTGCAGGGTGCAACCAACACCACTGCCCATGGTAGCCCTGAGGGTTGATTGAATTATTACTGAGAGAATACAAATTCGTTGCTTTTCCCCGAATCGAGGGAAATATAACCTAGGAACTCTACATTCCCCGCTGAAGATTTGCTTAGCCTACTTTGAGGCCTGAGCTTGGTTGTGGGGAGAGGTATCAGTGGAAGTTCTGACAGTGGGAGGAGAAATTGTGTGTTTCCATACAAGGACTATTCTGTGCTGACAGAAGGAAGCACATTCCTGGTTCATGATGGGTGAACACCCACGAGTGGAGAATGGCTGCCAGCAAAGACCATGCCTGGCATCACACCGGGAAGGAGAATTGCCACAGGTTTGGGAATAAGGAAGAAGGCAGGAGATGGCATCCCTGCAGGGCCAGAGGGGACTCCTTCTTCCCAGAGGTAGAACAGCTGTTTTCCTGGGACAAGGCTGTGGAGGGAGGTACCTGCATTCCCCAGGACGCAGGTCACTCTTTCTATGCAGGCATGGAGAGAGAGTGGCAATGACTCCAGCAGGGGAGTGGCTCATTGCTGTCAGGCAGGTCTCAAGGTCCTGCGGTGCTTCACTTTTCTTCTTGTAACCCCACCACTTTTCCCGTGACCTGAGCTGATGGTTAGCTCTGTCAGGTGCCAGTCAGTTCTTACTCAACCAGGAAAATCCATGAACCCTGGAGTCTGAGACTGGGGTCAATGCACAGAAGAGAGAATACAGGTGTGTGCGTGTGTGCGTGTGTGTGTGTGCGTGTGTGTGCGTGCGCACCCAAGCATATATGTATAGGGGTTGAACGGAATGTCCACGGAGAGAGAGGTCTGTGTTCTGTTGGTCTCCTGAGAGCATCCTTACTTTAGCTCTGGGGAGCACAGCTCCGCGGTAATCTCGTGAAAATCACAACCTACTCTCACCTTAGTCTGCTGTGGTTTAAGGGAGTAGGAGTCACTGAAGGAAGAAAGGGCTCACATTCAGTGGCTGCTCTAGGCAGGCGGTGAAGGCTCTTTAGGGGCACTAGAGGGGTCAGACTCAGTGAGGGGGCTGCAAGGCTGTGACCCCAGGTCTAGCTCCAACGAGGGACAGAAGGCCCAAGAGGACCTGCTCTTCATTGCTCAGTCTGTTCCCCCCTGACCCCCGGAACTTCCTCCCCTTTTACTTATCCTTTAGGAGCCAGCAGTCCCCTCCTCTGTTCCTCCTTCCTCATGAATTCAAGCCTCTCCTGTGCTTGTGATACGGGAATGAGCAAGGGGTGAGGGCTGCAGTCCTGTCTGGGAGTGAGGACGCTCCCCCTTTCATGCTGACTGCCATCCAACTCGCTGAGCTGAGCGCAGTAGGCCTTCCCCCGGAGGGAGTGAGAGCCAGCTACTTCCCTGCCCTCTGAAATCGCTCCCTCTTCCTTCAGGGGTTCTTTGACTCAGTGAAGGCCCCAGATTCTCTGGCTAGCATGGTGCCTCGTCAGTTCAAGTCCATTCAGACTCCTTGAATATGTCTGTGGAACTTCACAGCCACACTAGACTCAGTCTGCTTCCAGGAGGTGGCCCTGAGATAAGGGTTTGTACACATGAGGTTATGACGGCCATGCTCCCATGAGAAATCACAAGGGAATGTGGAGAGTGGGACAGAAAAGGAAAGCAAGGGTGCCACCTCAGGTGAAATCGGCAGCAGCCCAGCTGCTGAGGAGCTCTGGAGTAGAAATGACACCTTAGAGTTTCTTCCACCTTGAGGCAAGGGAGCTGAGTGTCATATGGCTGTCAATCACTGACCCCAGGTGGCCTTGGGGGTTATAGTTTCCCAGCCTTCCTGCTCCTAAAGGATATAAGTGGCTCTGTTAGCCTGAGGACAGGACTCTTAGGAAGCCACAGGAGCAGGTTGTTCCAAGCAAAGCTCCCCCAGCTGGCAGGGTGGGCTGTGGGGAGGGATTTGAGTGGATCTGGCTGGGGGCACTGACAGCGTGGAGGCAAAGGGCAGCCAGAGCCTCTCCCTGGGAAATCAGCTGGCATGGGCTGGGGCTGGCAGCAGATGACAAGGGGCTCTGACACTGGCAGCAGGGAGGATCTGAAAGAGTGGGGAGATTGGGTATAGTTTTGAGATTATTACGGGCATCCCCTATAAGCCTTCTCAATATCACGCTTTAAGTGGAACTAACAGATTTTCACAGCAGAGTTAAAGGTGTTCTTTTTCAGAACTGTCACACATTTCTCCTTCCCACTCTGTTCCTTTGCCTTCCTCTTATCACCAGCTTTTTTATTCTCTGGAATTCCTGTGTCGCCTGCTGTTGGGACCGCTCCCGGGCTGCTCATACATATGCCTTGACGTCCTCACGGGGTCAGTTCCTGATGATGGTTATGTGCACAGCTGTAGAGATGAACTTGGATTTGATGCTCAGCTCCACCACTTACTGTGTGACCTTGAGCAAGTTACTTAACTTTGGTGAGCCTCACTTTCCTCTGTAAAATATAACAGGAGTACCTACTTCATGTGTAGTGTGAAAATTAAAATGGATAATTCACATTAAATAGATAGCAAGGCATCCAGCATGTTTGTGCTCAATAAATATCAGCTACTGTTTCAAAATAATTATCATTATTCTTGTGTGCAGACAAGGTTTTTACACATATTTTGGTTCTGAGGGCAGGCATCAGATACAGTACCATATGCACTTAAGTACGTGCTCATATGTGCATGGGGTTTACACATAGAAAAATCTGGGCAAGGAGAGAGGCCCAAAAGTTCGGGCCCCCTCAATCAAGTTAACAGCAAAGCTGAGGAGATCCACGTTCCTCACACTGGAGCTACTGCCCTCATGTCAGAGCACAGCATTCACAGAGACAAGTGCTCCCTGGTGCATTCTGCTTTTTTTTACTATGCCAGCACCAAGAGCCTGATGAGGGAGGCTCCCCTGCCTGAGGGAGAAATATTCTCCAGGAGGAAATACAAGACTATGCGGGAGAAGGCAGTGGAAAAGGAGGCTGGAAATCATGCCATCAGGGAGGGCAGGGAGCACAGCTGCCATGTGTTCTGCTCTGCCTGGAACGGCTGTGGGCCAAGTCCGAGGCTAGCCAGCGAACAAGCAGGTTTGACTCTGTGTTTGCCGGCCAGCCCACGCTGACGCTGGCATTACTCAGTCCTGGGCGTGATCACTGTAGCTCTCTCTGAGTCTGCCTTATTAGAGCCTTAGCAGTCCCCAAACTGGCTTCCCAGTTTAAAGCCCATGCTTGTCACTCTTTCCACTGCCACAGAGAATGGGGCCGAGTTTGCACGGGGCTAGCTACCTGCTCCATGGGCTGCTGCCTCTGCCAGAGGGAAGACAAGGCTTCCCTTCACTCCCAGCTGCTTCCCAGTGAGGCACACACAGGTTGGGGTGGCGCCCAGCCTCAGAGAGTGCTCTCAGAGTACCAGGAAGGAGGAGGCAACACCACATGCATCTTGCTGCAAATAAACAGAATCCACCCTGGAGAAAGGGATGAAACAGGGGGTTGTGTGAGTAGTTCAAGGAGGGCAGGAAGTTGGCACACGCCACTGCTCTGAGGCCAGTCTGACTATTTTGCACAAGCATCACAAAACCCAGGAAACCTTTGGCCATTCAACCAGAATAAGCCAAGAAAAAATTAGACACAGCTGCTTGTCAGTAGTTACACACGTGCTTGGTGTGAGGGGCCCTGCCAGTGACATGCACACTCATATATGCATACACACACTCGTGCACGTGGCATCAATGTCCATGTTGGAAGGTGAAGGATGACCACTAATAATACTCCCCTTTACCTTCTAAGTTTTCAGAAAACCAACTAATTCATAGTCCTGTTCTACATGCACAGGCCCCTTGAACCTAGACAACCCCATTCCAGATCTTTGTGGCAGAATGACGTTAGAACTCACCCTCTCAAGGCCTTCTGGGAACAGCAGAAAGTCAAAACTGGGAAAGACAGAGAGAGGTAGATGAGTCAAACCTTTTGTGGTCATGGACAACTTTAAGAATCTCATTAAAATTCAGAGTTTCTCTCTCTTTAGAGAAATGTGCATAGAGTGTATTGGAACATACTGACATGTGATTTCAGGAGGCCACATCTCCCTCCCCAAGAGCCGTGTATGAGTCCCTGGTTAAAACACCCCATCATGAAGGATTCAGAATAGGAACTGAGCCAAACAGGCAAAGCACCAACAATGCTGGCACCAATAGCCACCACTCCCAGAGTTCCCAGCTAAGTGATGTCACCCTAAGACTCAGAGATTGACAGGTGACAATGTCAAACCACTGACACATCTCAAAGGGAAGCCATCCATAACGCCTTCTCAGAACCACCCATTAGGTTCCAGACCCTCCAGTGTTCAGGGTGCCACATTCCTACACCAGTGGGAGAGCAGGCGTGGAGTGGCTAGTTGAAACACCTTGTGGTGACAGTCTCTCACCATCGCAAATAGGAAACCAGCCTATTGTGGTGAGTTTCCCTGCCCTGTTGGGGGAGGCAGCAGCAGAACAATGGGAGCATGGAGAACTATCCCACATGGAGTGCCCTACATGGAACCTCGGAGACTCAAGCTCGGAATGGACTGTGATACAGAGTGCACACTGACATGCCGCTGCAGACGCAGCCTCAGAAGGTGAACTTGAGGGCATGGGGACAGACTGGGGCAACTGTCTACTTCATCTTGCTTCATGTTCATCCATTCACTGAGCTATCATGTATTGAGCTCCCATGATGTACTAGATATGAGAAACAAATGCAATGACATGGCCCCAGTCCTCAAATAACTGTCTCTCAGGGGAAACATAGCCCTACACTGCACATGATGAGGCAGTACCCTCTGATGGTCGCGAGCCCAAGCTTCCCTCTGAAGCTGAAATTATACTGCTGGAAATCAGCATGTGGTGAAGAAAAGAACCTTGTAAAGTTAGTGCCAGCATGGTCCAGAGTAGGGCTCTCAATCGTGAATGTGCATTAGAATCACCTAGGAGATTTCGCTAAACTATCAATGACCAGACCACGCCCCAGACAAAGTAAATCAGAGTTTCTGGGTAAGGTCTCAGTCATCAGCACTTTTTAAAGCCCTCCAGGTGATTCCAACATGTAGCACAATTGAGAACCTCTGGCCAGAGCTGCACGTTCCCCTCTTGTGTGTACTCTTATACCAGTGTCCCCTGAATACAAGCATTCATGATTGAGGAGTTCAGAACCTTAGGGAACAGCAGGATGGGACTGGACTCATGAGTAAATTGACTTAAGCAAAAAGAGCTTTCAAATATTGTTTTATGTTCATGTAACTCAGGGACCAGCGTACTACTGACATCTTCAATTTCTCCAGGCTTTGATTGACACCATGAACACAGAGAGGGATCATGGTTTACCTTGCTTATATCTAAGGCCCACAATCAATTTTTCTGGATTGAAAGACAGTGAAACATCTCTTTCCTTCAGGGAGAAACTCTATTTTCATCCCTATCTGAAAGGGTATAACCTGGCTGGCCCTACAGTCCCAGCAAACAGTCATCATAGTGTAGAGAGCGTTTCCTAGCATTCCAGGAAATATGTGGGATGTGGACTTTTGTTGGTGTTGAGGTGCTGGGGGGCAGTGATTCAAAGTGTCACAGAACCAATAGGAAAAGGCAGTTCAATAGTAATTAGGTCAGGAAAAATGACACACAGCTGCCTGTCAGGATACTGGATACACGGTAAGTGGGAATAGAATTCCAGGTCACACACACACACACACACACACACACACACACACACACACACAGATTTTATCAGCAGGCAGCGTCACCTAGAACAAAAGCAGCAATAATAAATTTATTTAATTCCCAAATGCTCAGAAATGCCTACTGTCCCTACTGTCCAACATGGACATTGATGCCACATGCACGTGCATGTGCATGAGTGTGTGTATGCATATATGAGTGTGCATGTCACTGGCAGGGCCCCTCACACCAAGCACGTGTGTAACATCTGACAAGCAGCTGTGTCTCATTTGGATGGGTTAGACTTGGGGACTCATAAGACACTGAATGGGGAGAAGCCACATAGGCAGAGAGTTATGTGAGCCACTCTTGCACTGGAGAGGTCTGGGTTGGTGAGTGACATTTGGGAGTCAACAGCATAAAGAGGACATTTCAATCCTCAGACAAGGATGAGATGCCTCAGGTAGAGGAGACTAAGGAGGGCAGAGGCTGGAACCAAATCCTGGGCTGCCCAGTCTATTAAAAGCTGGTGGAGGGGACTGGGCAGACATGGTGGGAGTGAGAAGGGGAACCAGGAGAGGGGCTGGCCCAGGAGGCAAGCAGGGGTCCAGCAGGAGGGAGTGGGAGGGGGAAAGACTAGGACAAAAGCATGACCACTGGATGTGGAACAGGGCAGTCACTGGGACCTTGAAAAGGGCCATTTCATCTATTTCAGCAAAGGCAGAGGCTTCAGCAGTGAACAGGGGAGTCATTTTAGAAATGTGAGCATGGTGGGGCAGAGGAGTGCAGCTGCAGCGGTGGGAAGAAGGGGACAGGGGAAGAGGGGAGTTTTTAGTGTGTATTTTTATGCAGATGGGAATAATTCCAAGGCCAGGGAGAGGGAACAAGGCAGTAGAAAGGAGAAAAAGCGGGTATCCCAAGGAGTTAGGTCCCAGGGAAGATAAGGACACCTTCCGGAGGAGGGAGGATCTGGCTTTGGTGAAACAGGTATTTAGTTACAGTTCATGTGCTGAAGGACAGAAGTTAAAGTTTATTCTACTTAGCTGGGAGGGAGAATACTTCTTGTTCTTTCTTCCCAGGTGGTTCGTGCTTGAGGGGTGCTGGAGAAGCCTCCAACAGCGAGATGCCTGGCAGTGGAATGTAGGCAATTTACACTCCCCTGCCCTGAGCTGATCAGAATTTCAAAAGGCATATTTGGATGTACTGTATCACATCTGAAACAGCTATGGGTGAAGTGTGGGTGGTTTACCACTATCTGGGTCACATTTATTAAAATATAGAAATCTGAGCTCTCTTTAATCCATAAGATGAAAGTAAATGTTACCAGACAGCAGCAAGAGTACAAAGGAACGTTCTGTCAGTGTGGCCTCAAAAACAGAGTTTTAGAAAAAGTACAGCAAGAGTCCCAAACAGCATGAAGAAAACCAAAATAACACTCCTCTACTCTGTTTTTTTCTAACTCATGAAGTAGTGATCTAGTCTTTATCCCATGAACAGAACGGAGAACCAGTCACTCTCAAGAAAGCAAGTGACTATGATTTGTGAAAATTTCTTACAAAGAGTGCTGTGTGGACATAGTTCCTGGATTATATCTCTGGAAATAAACTGCTAGTGGTGAAATCAATCTTCCAGAGAAAAATTTATTTGCATTTTTATAACCTTGTATTTCTTCTCAAAAATTGAGGAAGGGATATCCAAGGAAACAGAAAAATATGCAGAGAAGGACATTGTCTTAGTTGGTTCTTGAGTGCCCATAAATGAAGTAGGGGCAAATATGCAATGAACAAATGAAGGAGGGGAGAGGCTTCCGCAAGTGTGAGGCCTCTTGCCTGTCTAGTACCCTTGGTACAGAGTCCAATCTGCACCGCACCTTTCCTCCATGTGAATCTCCTTCCGCATCTACACATTTGATCACAGGCTATCTTTCCAGAGCTCTCAAGACATTTCCTGTTCTCTGAACTTTGGCTCCCACGCTTTCTCTCTCCTCCTTCTATTCTCTCCCTCAGTCCCCATGACAAGCATGAACATATTAATTAATTTCCTGAACATATTAATTAATTGAACCAAACAGAAAAATGTATCCACTCTAAGCTAGGTAAGCAATGACACGCTGCTCTAGGGTGGAACCGCAAACTCTGGTTTGTCTTTGCCCGATCATTTCCACGTCCTCCTAAATTCAAATCAGACAGCTGGCCCAAAAGGGCAATGGGCAAGTGGTCTGCTTCCCTTGGCCATTATCTCCAGGATGTGCTGTGGCACTGGGAAGTTCACACACTATGAGAGCTTTCAGTGACATTTCCAAGGCCCTGTGGAGGGTGGGAATAAGTGGGGAAGTCTGGGAAGGGCTCTTGACTGAGGCCAGAGGGAGTTGGGAGCTTGCCTGCAAGCCCTGGCAGGTGACTCACTGGGAAACAACCTTATAGATGAGTGATGAGTAGGGATGTGGCCAGTAGCGGCGTGAGGAAGAGACGCCTTTGACACATTATAAAGCTAAGGTGGCAGGGTGGTTCAGCATTTCTCCCCAGCTTGCCTTGTGCTCTCTCCCAGCCCAACTTCTGTTCCCACTCCAGGCCCTGGAAGGGGCTCCTCCCTCCCACTCTCTGGCTGACCTCCTCAACCATAACCAAGAGAGTGAAGGAAATCAACTGCTATCTTGTACGTGGTGACCACGAAAACAGTTGTGCTTGTGGTTTGGAATGTCATCTCCATTGTGAGGAAGTGTATAATCCTGAGTATGCAGAAGTTCGCCTGCGGCTGAATGTGGGCCAGATCACAGACGTGGTCATGTGTTTCCAAGAAACACTGATACCCTTTCCTTGGAGGTTATTATTAGACAGAGATGTCACAGGGGAAAACCTCAACCATACTGATGGCCTCAGATCCATGCCCTGTTAGCTGGGCTCTGGGGTATCCAGCTGCACCCACACTAGACACTATGCCAGTCTGCAAGATTGTGGGGCTGCCTCTGCCTGTGCACTCTGAGGCCCCCAAGCATGACCACCCTGCTCAGTGCTCAGTACCAGCTAGTCTCTTCCAGAAAGAGGTGGATGGCTTCCAGCCTAACTTATAAAACCTATTTCCATACCATTTTTAAAGAAGTCCCATTATGAAAAAACTACTAAAAGTAATCACTTATTTGCAGAGTAGTGGGCATAAGCCTGGGAGAAAAGCTTCTTGATATTTATCTGTTTTGTAATATTTATTAAGATTTTAATTTTTGTGGTGACTTAGTGTTTATCTTTATGAGGTACATGAGATGCTTTTTTACAGAGGTGCAATGCATAATACATCATGTAAAATGGGGTATCCATCCCCTGAAGCATTTATCCTTTGTGTTACAAACCA